GTAAAAATAAATTGATTTATCTGAACCAACTCTATGGTCTTAAACACCCAAAAGGAAATTATAACCAAAGAATAAGGGATCAATATAATTCTTTAAGAGTCCATGTGTATAGCTAAAGGCTACATAACAAGAAACAATGCCAGACATGAGATCCCTTCCGTTGAGTTGCCCAAGAGACTCCCAGAGAGTAACCCAGCATAGAACTGGGAAAATGAACAGCAGACCCCACTCTTATCTAAAGGAATATTGGCAACTGATTGCTGCTAGATGAGGAAGAGCTGATCTTCCTAAAACAAGGAACTCTAGATAGGATGGCTAGATTCAGTGGATGGACTTGCACTGGGGAACAGCTGGGGGCACTGACAACACAGTGGATAGTAACAGGGATTACAGAGTATATGGGCTCCAGTGTGGGGGGGCTATGGGAGGGTGCCATTTAGGATGTGAATATATAGATGAATAAGGTTATTAGGGATGTTCTATATGAAATACACATACCAAAAAATCAACAAATAAAAAAAATGAGTTATATTTGAGGAAGAAGCATAAAAATTTGCTCCATGTTAATTAGTAGAGGTGAAACACATTACCATTGAAATCTACCTGATGATTTTATATCCATGCTCAGGTGCCAAGGATTTCAGAAAGTAACCGACTATGACTAGTAATTATCAGATACATAGAGATTAGAGACACATGTGAAAACATCTAAGTGTTAGTAGCATTAAAAATGAGTTTGTATGAAACAGTATATTTTAAAATGAAATGGAGACCTTTTTCAAAGGTTAAAACCTCATTCAGTTTTATGTCTTATAGGGTTTATGGTGAGTTCAATATTGTATAACTATATTAATTCCTCTGTGGACCTAAAAATTTACAACCACTTTTGTAAGAGATGCATCTTTGCTCTGGAAATTGTTATTGAATATGTTAATGCTGTAATGAAATTCTTCTTCTAATCATGTGGTTATTAAATAAATAAAAAAAGAATTGGGGTTTCTAGGAGCTGGTTAGTCACTAAAGTACTTGCTAGGTAAGTATGAAGACCTGTATTCAGATTCCAAGCATCCATGTAAAAAGCCATGTGTGCTGGCATGTGCTAGAAATCCCAGTACTAGGTTGTAGAGACAAGTGGACCTCTAGAGTTTGATGGTCAGCTAGTTACCAAACTAGTGAGCTCCAAGTTAAATGAGAGACCCTGACTCAAAACCCAAGATGGCAAGCAATAGAGGAAGGCACCTGACATTGACCTCTGGCCTCTACACATATGCAGTGTATGCAATATGACCACGTACATATACACATACACAAATTGGGGTTTATATTACCATGAAAGAATGGGAGTGTGGATTGTAATCTTTACCACTCTGTTCAGAGGGAAAAAAAATCTGAAAATTCATTTCCTTAAGTCCAAAGCATAGAGAATCTTCCCCTAGTTCCTGGTGTTCTCTCTTTGTCACCAGAAGCGCCACTCTAATCCACAAAGCTGGTTTCCCTCAGCTAAGTCTCTGTCTGAGGTGCTAGAAAAGGTGTGGGGAAAGACTATTGTGTGTTCCCTAGCTGTCCTGCTGGTCTACCTCAGACCAAATGTCCCCTGAGTGATGGTGTGGTTTCATGTAGACGCTTCACTGAGAAATCATATAGGTATCACAAATACAGCAGAAAAGATTAGAATGGGAATTCTGCAGTTTATCTAACAGACATATTCCTCTGGCAGAAGCAACCTTCTTACCTCACAATCTTAACCCTTTCTCTCTGCCCTTGTGATTACGTCTTCCTCTTGCCCAGCCTTCCTCAACACTCCTGGGTGACCTGCTCCTATTTCTAGTGGAATATACCTGCAAATAATATGGGAAGAGCCAGTTCTTCATGATCTTGCTACTACAAAGGCTCCTAAATTTGTTCTTTTTCTCTCTGAGCTCCAAATATTTTCTGATTTGTTCATTAAGCAAATGCTTATTGATTGACTAGGTCTGTGAGTGTTATCAAGTGTCTAAAACAGACAGAAATCTCTTCTCGGAGCTTCTTTCCAAGATTCTGATTGCAGAGTTCTCAGGGTAACAGGTCAGGGAGAGCATGTTTATCAGATCCATGATGTACAAGAACATTCAGCAGTTGTTTGTTAACTACACAGTTGATGGACCAAGAGTCCTGTGTGGACTGTTTCTTCCTGGCGATCCATGTATGACTTTGCCATGCAAGTAGGGTTTTGCTAATAAAGTCTGGTAGTAATTATATTTGTGATTTGACTAATGTACGTGCTGTTGACCCTAATTATATTTCCTTACTTCTAGGCAAAAAGGACATTGTCCAGTGTTTTTCCTGTGGCGGATGTATGGAGAAGTGGGAGGAAGGTGACAACCCCTTAGAAGATCACACCAAGTTTTTTCCCAAGTGAGAGAAATGAATGCCTTGACTTTGAATGCTCTTGGACAGTTATTCCCTCACCCCGTACTTTATCTGTGCATTGTCTTTGCCTACTCCTCTGATTCATACTGTGAAGGACTTGTTTTTATGTCTTTCATCCCCTTCCTCCCATGATGCTGCCCTTGTCTATCCTTCCTCTCCTCACAGTTAGATGTTGGTTTTAATTAGATCAATACGGACACTTTTTTGTTTCTTTTACAATGTGTGTGTTTTATTGAATTGCTGTGAATTTTATATAGTACATCTTAATTATATTTAACTTCCCTCTTCTATCTGCAGCTCCTTAAACCTGTCCATGGGATTTCTGTCTTATATGTTCAGCCTATCTATTGTCAGTCACTCCCTTAAAGAAGATCAACTCTCCCTTACCCAGCAGTAATCAGCTGCCAATAGTTCCTTGGCTAAGGTTGGGTCTTCTTGCCCATTTCCCCAGTTCTCTGCTGATTGATTTTGCATGGGTCTTGTGCATGCTGACACCATTGCTCTAAGTTTATATGCAAGTTTCCAGGAGTCTGTAAGACTCTGTTTCCTTATGGTCATGTACCACCCCTGACTCTTACAATCTGTACAATATGCACACTTTTAAAGACAGCATCTCTCTATTTAGTCCAAACAAGCCTTGAACTTGCTGTGTAGCCCAGGTTGGACTTGAATGCATGGTCTCCTGCCTCAGCTTCCCAAGGTGTGGACTACCATGTCTGGCAAATCCGTGCCTTTTTTGATTCCTTTGGTTGCAAATTATTTTTCCCTTCTTTTTCTATAAGCTTTTAGCATTTCCTATTTCCTATGTCTAAGATTTCATAGGCAATATTTCTTTTCTATGTTTTTCTTTTTTTCAGTGCTGGGGACTGAACCCAAGACTTGGGCATCTAGACAAGACGTTTACCTTGAGCTATACTCTCATCCCCTTTTCTATAAATCTTCAAAATTATTTTTATTTATTTTCTACACATAAAATTCTCTACAAATGTTCAATTTCAGGAAGAAACTTGTTTTCATTAAATAGCTAGCTTTGTTTTTGTTGTGGCTGTTGTTTTTGAGACAAGGTCTCACAATGTAGCCCTGGCTAGCCTGGAACTCCCTAGGTAGACCAGGCTGACCTCAAACTTACCAAGATTTGCCTTCATCTGTCTCCCAAGTTCTGGGAGTAAATCCATGTGCCACCATACCTAGTACTAAGCAAGTAGTAAGAAATTTTCAGAAATGAGTATTAGTATGTACAGATTTAAAAATGGATGAATCTGCCTGGATACAGTGGTGCACATGTATAATCTAAGTACTCAAGAGGATGAAGCAAGACCATTGTGTATGGTATTTTTTAATATGAAATGTGTTAATATGATTGACTTTAAAATGAATTGATTTTAAAATAAAGCAATTATGTTAAGAAAGAAAGTACAATTGGAGATACTTTTTGGTATGGCATTCCTGTGAAAGCCTTAAAAG